TTAACATTTCTGGATCTTGGTTTTCTCATTTGTGAAAAGAGCATTATTGCATTACCTACTGTTTAGGGCTGTCATGAGGGCTGATGAGATCATTGTAATGTGTGTAGGGCATCACTTGGCACAGAAGGAACAGTCAATGAAAAATGACCTTTTTGCCCAGCCAGCACGGCTCAGAGGTTGAGCGTCGACCTAGGATCCAGGAGATCTCGGTTCGATTCCCGGTCAGGGTGCGTGCCCGGGTTGTGGGCTCGATTCCCAGTGTGGGGCGTGCAGGAGGCAGCCGATCAATGACTCTCTCATCACTGATGTTTCTCTCTCTCTCTGAACTCAATAAAGATATATTTAAAAAAAAGACCTTTTTCTATCAATTACTATAGATACCCAAGCTGGCTTTTGACTAAATTTCCATAATGGAGAGTCTTTTAGTTGGGATTGTATGCTGAAAGCAACAAAACACCCAACTAATATGGCTCTAGGCTTCCAGCAGGGTTGAGGTCAGGTCACATGTCTGCTCATGTCTCGTGGGGCCTTCAGCTACTCAGGGCATGTTCTTCTCATGACAGGTCACACGAAAGCAAGAGGATGAGGCCAATCGTACAGTCACATTTAAAGCCCCTCTCCCAAGCAGGACCACTGGTATTTCGTCTGCCAAAGAGCCAAAATCAATGGGGCAGGGAAGCACAGCCCACCCCCATGGATGCCAGCGGGCAAGGTGGGGTAAATATAATTCTGTACCAGGGGAGGGAATGCAACTGGAAGCAATGATCTCATTTGCCACATTTACTAGCATTAAAAATAGGGATACAATCACGTGGCTAAGAATAAACAGATAGATTTATAGTGCTAATAAATGTTTATCTAAAACATGACACAGAAAACCCAATTTTTGATCAGCTTTATGGCATGCGACTTGTTTTTCTGGAAAACTGACCCACAGGCTGTGGAATGCTAATCTTGGCTGCTTTGCACCACTAGGGTGTCATTAATTCACAGCTTCTGCACTTGGCCTTTTATCAGTAGTAACGGTAAATTAGAAGCTGACTTACACCTGTTGTCCCAGCACAACGGTCCACAGTGCCACCTCCCTCTCACAGGAGGACCAGTTTGATGACAAACTCTGTGACCGCCTCACGTATACACCACCCATGTAGTAGTTTGTCCTTCAGAGAGAAACAACCTTCCCAAGAGCTAACACTCCCCAAGAAGCAGCAACCTTAACAATTTCTGCTTTTCCTTCTGGAAAAATGCTCCAATGACAAATGCCCGCTCTTGCTCCAGGCCTTCGAGTGTTCCAGGCCTCCTCAGAAGGCTCAGCCCATTTCTGTTTTGTGTTCAGCTGTGTAGCTCCCCCCCTCGGGTTGCCGTCCCCCAGGCACCTCCCGGAGCTGTCCAGAGCTGGGCCGTAGGGCTTCCCGGTCACGCGGCTCCGTCCCCTACTAGAGCATTTATGGGCTGTGACAAACGTTTACTTGCCTGTCTGCCTCCGAGCAAGCAAGGATCCTGCCTGCCTGTGTCACCACCTGCATATGCCCCTTTCGCAATCAGTATTTGCTGAATGAATGCAATTGTTATTGTTTAATTATTATAAAATATGTCAGACATGCCAAAAACAGAATAATATTGCCCTCAACCCACTTTCTACCTGCTCTTTTTTTTTTTTATTTTTTAAATATATCTCTATTGATTTCAGAGAGAGGAAAGGAGAGGGAGAGAGAGATGGAAACACCAATGATGAGAGAGTCACTGATCGGCTGCATCCTGCACGCCCCCTACCGGGGATCGAGCCCGCAACCCGGGCCTGTGCCCTGACCGGGAATCGAACCCCGATTGCCTGGATCCTAGGCCAACGCTCAACCGCTGAGCCACGCCCGGCCGGGCTACCTGCTCGCTTTCTGCCGCTCATCCTTCTCTGGCCCTTAGCCTCAAACAACAGACTACATGAAAAGACAGTTATTTTTAAATGAAAACACCACCATAAGGAATGTCAAAAAACAAAGGATAGGAGGGGGGGAAACTGAGCAACATGTGGCAGACATGGGGTTCACATCCTCGAGTTCCCAACGACCCAAGGAGGAAAGTGAGCACGTATGAGTTTAAAGTTCATGGAAGAGAAAGGTGGACATGATCAACTAGCCTATGCAGAAACATCACAGAAATGCAGCTCAGCACAGCTGGGGAAACGCACAAGGACTGGATAACCCGCTTCACTCATCAGGTTGACAAGACTTCAAAGGACGAAAAATACCCCGCATTGGTGAGAACTGAGTGCACACCAGATGAGACCACCATTTTGAAATCTATGCAGGTACAAACTGTGGAAACGCATTGAAACTCCAAAAGTACAACTAAATATGAGGAATTATGTAGGATCTACACTGTGGCAGCTGTAATGGCAAACAAAGCCCAAACCACCCTAGATACCCACGAACGAGAAGATGGTCGAATTCAGCATGGTTTGGTCATAATCTAACTTTTGCTTAAGAAAGTTACGTATAGCTGTACTGACCCCCAGCGCTGTTAGTAAGGGAATCAGGCCAAGTTGTAGAGAAACATACATAGTGTGATACAATCACTACAAAAATAGGAAAGAAAACCTTTCCCATGTTATCGTTTGAGACTATGTATGTTGCTATGAACACAGAGAAAGCTTTACTTAATTGGGTGGGGTGAGAAAGGCTGGGTCTGGAGATTATTGGCTTGGTTTTTGTACAGTTCTGTATAGTTTATTGCAAGGAACACATTTTTCTGTAGTGTGTTCAAGGAAAATCCAAATACGCATGTCCCTGTATGTATATGTTTATATGGAGGGCAGCAGCTAGGTGGAGATATATAGATACAAAAAGAAATATAGCCCTGGCTGGTGCAGCTCAGTTGGTTGGGCGTTGTCCCATGCACCAAAAGGTTGCTGGTTCGATTCCTGGTCAGGGCACCTGCTAGGGTTGTGGGCTCCATCCCCAGGAGGCAGCGTGCAGGAGGCAGTTGATTGATGTTCCACTATCACATCAATGTTTCTCTCTCTCTCCCTCTCCCTTCCTCTCTTTCTAAAAATCAACTTTAAAAAGAAATATAGTACATGAAAAGGAAATAGTATGTTCAATTCAACCCCAACTCTGTAACTGGAATAGAAAACATACAGACATAACCATGGGAAAAAAGATCAGGAGAAGTCCATCAAAATAGTCTCAATTTTTACATCTGGATAGGTAAGAGCTAGTGACTAATTTCTCTAAATAATGTTTCCCATGCTTCCTATCTTAAATACACATTACATTTATTATCAGGAAAAAAATTCTTTAAAAGCTGAAATAAAAAAAGGGGCGCTCTGGGAGAAGTAAAAAACAGATTCATGATAATGTAAGTTTCCCATCTAAAATTCAATAGCTGAGCTTCCTAAAGAGCTGCAAGCAATGACTCTAAAGCAATGACATTATTAAAATACTAACACAGGGTGCTGCAAGCTTTTTCGATTTATTATCAAACCATAGTTAATGAATAATTATTACCATTACTGATGGGAAAATAAATAAATTCTGGCAAAAAAACCCCACAGCTCAAACTCTGTATCTATTTCCTAAGGGCAGCTAACTTTCCATTTCCAATGGGCAACCCTCAAGGTTTCCAGCATCATCATTTTGTTATTTCCTTAGCCTGTTATATATCTTTTACGTAAAAGTGAGCTGATGTGCATGAGAACTTTAAATAAGTTTGTGTGTTAGGGCAATAAAAGTGTACGAAAACTTGGATAAAAAAATATCTAAGTGTCTTTATAATATTTTAAATATACTTCTCTCACAAGAGTAACCTCTGCAGCTCGCAATCCTTGCTGGCATTCTGTGAGAGCACGCTTCAATCATTCAATACTTATTAAGTGCCCATCATGAGCTGGAGATCACCCCAGAGGCTGGAAACCCTAGTTTGTCTTTGGGTATAAGCAGCGGTAATCCTAGCTTGCTCTCTGGCGCCACCTACTGGTCACACAGCATTTTCATTCGAAACAATAAAATTTGAATTTCCCTTTTCTCAGTACAGCCCATGGTTTCGAAAAACCCAGGTGCTTCTCTGTCCCTGGGGCTGCACATACATTGATATCTAAAACAATGGCATCCTAGAAAACTCTGTCCTAAAGGTTAGTAGAAACGTGCATCATATTTGCATCTAAACAGAAATGTCAGGTTTGTCAGTCTGAGGTCTCAAAATGAAAATACCATAGATATTTGACTGTTAAGGAGGCAAGACATATCTATACTATTTATGCGCAAGGACTACAAACCTTTGCTTGTTCAAATTCTCTTTAATGATATGATAATTCACATCCCCTCAACCCCAAACCATACCCTGACCACACAATCATTAACGTTCAATATATTTTAATTTTGTATCAATTTATTAGAAAACCATTCCTTTTCATCTCATTAGCATTAAGTTGTTTTTTTTGGGTGTGTTTTTCTGTCAAAAACCCATTTAACATTATGTAGAAAATGGTCCTTCATACCACAGATTTGTATCCATGTACTAAAACCCCAGACTCGGGGCGTATTTTAGAATGGCACAGAAGAGGGGCTGGGAAGTACCATCTACTACACAAGTTTAATGAGATGGGAAAAACCTTTATTCAAGTTGGGAAATCAAGTTGGAAACAAACGTCCTCACTAATCAATGCATTGAATTCCAACCCCTAATCGGAATCATCCTGGTAACATTTAAGATTCTACAACAGTCACAACACTGCGACTCGGGGGGG